CCTTATTCTAATAAGATTTCAGCTAGCCCAGCATACTAGGACCCTGTCTGGAAATGTGGAGGACCCAGGTTCGAACCCCGAGTATTTCCACTCGCCCGGAAAAAAATAAAAAAATTTAAAAGGAAAAAATTTAAAATAAAAAATAAAAAAATAAAAAATTGTCTCGTAGACGTTCACGTGTCCCCTCCCCCTTTTAAAATAATTAAAATTATCTCGTAGACGTCCACGCATCCCCTCCCCCTTTTTTTAAATAATTGAAATTATCTCGTAGACGTCCACGAGTCTCCTCTTTTTTCCATAGGTACCTGTAGTGGGCGTGGCCAGACAGGCACACAGCAGGGGGTCGGGGTCGATGGTGGGGATTTGTTGTGTCTAGCTATAGTGGCCCATATACTCTACTTAAATCTATCCTTTTAACAAGATCTATCTTCTTCTTTTTGTGCGATACCCGATTCGAGCGTACACTACCCCTCTGCATATTATCTACGGTGTGCGCCGTTCCGCAGACGTATGGGACCTACAATTTAACGCCGGTTCCGAATGGCATAGATTAGGGGAGGTTCTCTTGGCAAGATATTCTCAGTGGTTTGCCATTGTTTTCTGAGAGGTGGCGATCGCGAATTATCGAAATAATACATTTGATATGTTTTCTGGCTCTGGCTGGATTTAAACTCAAGGCCTTCGGCATAGAGAGCAGACGCACAACTCTCTGCACCACGATCGCACATATCTTTTATATTAGTTATGTATTAGTTTATAATAGTATTATATTAGTTATTAATATAATCGGAATTACTTTGCAGATCTTTGAAGATAAAGACATTGATGGTCTTTTCAACGCTCACAAGTGACTAATTGACAAAAAATTTAAAAATGAAATACAGTTCAGCAGAGAAGCTACGCCTTAAGCTGGCCGAATTGATGAAAGAGTATTGAAGAAAAGAATCGAATAACAACATATATATATATATATATATCTCCAAGTCCAATCTTACACTACCTCTATCCTATCTTTCCTATCTAACCATATACACACGCACTTAAAATTTTCCTGCTCTCTATTTTAACTTATTATTTATATATCTTGTTGCTTTAGGTATACATACAAATGTCGAAGAAACCTTCCAAAGTTTAATGATTGAAGGAGATAATTTTGGACCTAGTCCGAACGGTAATGAAATGTCTGATCCAATACCTGGTCCAAGTACACGTGGAAAAGATCATTTATGAACCGAGGTAAAAGAGGCTTTGCTCTTTTATAGTTAATAAAATGTGTATCAATTTTATCGATAGATATAATTAGTTGTTTTTTATGTGTAGACGATCACCGTGCACAAAAAGAGTCTCAAAAGAAAACGAAACAGAAATAAAAGAAGGGGTAGCCTTCCGGACCTCGGAACCCGGACTCCGAACGCGTCGCCCCGGTCTTTATAGCAGGAGAGTGAGCGAGATAAAGATAGATATTTTTCGAATAATAAATTAGAAACAAACAAGGGGAGACATTACAATGTATATACATTGTAACAAACACTCCACTTGTTTCGTATTATAATCTATGTACTAATGTCCTTCGGTTCACTGTCGTGAGAATTCGATTATCATCGCAATATCAGATGTGGGGCCCACGAAAAGACGGGACGGTGAGAGATCGAGAACGACGGGGCTCAATGTATAATTGAAATAGTATTATTACTGTCTTATGAAATTTTATGTGTTTAAAGGAAAGATTATAAACAAAATTAATTTAAAAAAATAATTTAAAAAAAAATGATTTTAATCAATTTTTAAAATTAGTAAAATTTGTTGATTCAATAACAATGGGTATAAATCTATGATTTATACAAATTTATAATTTATACAGATTTCGGAACATTGACCAAAAGATAATCCGGGACGATTTATGAATAATAAGGATTGATTAAGACGTCCTAGAATTGAATCTATTTTAATTCCTAGAGAAGTGATAGTTCAGGAATGATTTACATCTATAGAAGTTGTTAAAATTCGAATAGTATAACTAAAAGGTAAAATACATCGATTATCTACATCTAATAAACGAAATTCATTAGATTTAATTTCATGAAAGGGAATTATAAACGGATCAAAATCAATATTGAAAAAAATCAGAATATTCATATTTGCAGTATCATTGTTGGCCAATTGATTTAATAGTATTATTAAATATTTCATCCATTCAATATAAAATTTTAATTGATGGAATAGCAATAAAAATTAGAATTAATATAGGAGTAATAGTTCGAATTAATTCAATTGTATGACCTTGTAGTAAAAATCGATTGATGAGTTTATTATTGATCATACTAAATATAATAAAAAGAGATAATCGTGTAATAAAAGTTAAAATTATTATGATAAAATCGTGAAAAGATATCAGATGGGAATAAATGACAGAATAAATGAATTCTGTTCTGCCAGTAAAAAAAAAAGATTTCACTTCTTTTGTTGCCGCAAAGAATCGTACATGCTTCTAACAAGTTGTATTATTTATAATAAATGTAAAAATGAATGTTGATTTATCTTCTTCAAAGAATGTTTATATCGTGCGGAATACCAATGAAAAATTTCTGTACCTGAAATTACAAGATGAGAAGACTCAGCTGGAAAACAAATACAACGAACTGATGGCAACTAATGGCAATGCCGACGCGAATTGAAGAGCGCCAAGGTACGTATTTTTTCATGCTATAAATATACATGTAATATCGGTTTACCAATTACAATTTGTATAAAATAAATAATGTCTTGAGATGGTTATAATTGCATCTTATAGAATACAATCAATCAATAGTTACATAGAAAATGATTAATATTCAATATCCAAGATTAATTTTAGAAAAAGAACTATTATATAAAAATGCAAGTACTCTGTAATTGTTATCTTGTTTTTCAGAAGTCCTACAGAAAAAGCACATTTCCTGGTATCATAAATAGGTGAATTTGAATATTGTAATGTTAATAACCAAATATTAATTTTTAGTAAAAGAATGAAATTAACATTATGTATGGGATTTAAATTCATTGCACTTAATCTGCTATATAGAAAATTAATAGAGAAATTTAAATTGAAGGAATTTCATTATATCTATGTTTAATTGGTGGATATGATCTTATTCATTCTAATGAAGAATTAAAAAAAAATAAATTTATAATTATTCGTTTAGATGCTAAAGCTTCTCAAATTAAATATATTAAAATAATTAATCTAATAATGGAAACAAAAAACCCAATTGAAGAGATAATATTTCATGAAAGATAAGTATCTGGGTATTCTGAATACGAAGTATTCCTCTTAATCCTAGAAAATGTTGAGGAAAAAAGGTCAAATTTACATCAATAAATATAGAAATAAATTGAATATTTAAAAGGAAATTATTTAAAGAAAATTTTGTTATTAAAGGGAATCTTTCAGTAATTGCAAATACAGCTCCTATTGATAAAACATAATGAAAGTGAGCTACTACATAATATCTATCATGAAGAATAATATTAATAGATGAATTTGAAAGTATTACTCTTGTTAAACCTCCTATGGTAAATAAGAAAATAAATTCTATAGATCATCAAAGAGATGAATTATTATTAAGTTTTGTTCCATGTAAAGTTGTAATTCATCTAAAAATTTTAATTCCTGTAGAAATAGCAATAATTATAATTGCAGAAGTAAAATATGGATGTGTATCAACACCTAAACCAATTGTAAATATATGATGAGCCCAAACAACGAATTCTAGAAATTCAATTGCTATTAGAGCATAAATTATTCCTAGAGCTCCAAAACTTTCTTTTTTTCCTCTTTTATTTATAATAATATAAGAAATTAGACCAAATCCAGGAAGGATTAAAATATAAATTTTAGGATAATCGAAAAATTAAAATAAATGATGATAAAGAATAGGATAACCTCCTCCTGAAGGATTAAAAAATAAAGTATTAAAATTTCGATCAGTTAATAGTATAGGAATAATAGCTCCTGCTAATACTGGTTCAGATCCTAAACTATTATCCTTCCTTAGCAGCAAACACTGCAATAAAAAAGGGCACGCTGCAAGTAGGATGGGCATTAACGAGTGTTGAGATCTTGGAAACAAGGCCCCTCCAATGTTTCCGGTGCCTGGAGGGGGACATGTAAGAGCGACCTGCACCAGCAACATCGATCGTAGCGGGAAATGCTACAGATGCGGAGAGAATGGTCATGAAGCCAAGACATGTATGGCAAAGCCTAAATGCTCTGTCTGTGCAGACCAAGGAAGACCGGACGATCACCGCACGGGAAACAAGAGTTGCTTACCGGCGAGGAAGAAAAGAGGGTCAATCGACAAAGCTCCGGCAGCGCCGAAAACAAAAATAGACCCCAATATACTTGCGACTGCTGGCTCCTCTGGGGTCAGAGTCGTAAGCAACGTTAAGGTGGTGGACAATCAACTTCCCCCTGCACTAAGGAGGAATAAGAAGACGGGTATACCAACATCCCAAAGGACGGCTGAAGGCGAAGCCCAGCCGATGGAGGTTGTGCCGGAGGAGGCGCCGTTAAATCATAATGACAACTAAGATCCTCCAGGCAAACCTTAATCATGCTCGTCAGGCGCAGGATTTATTTCTGCACAGTCTGATGGAGCGTGATTGCGGAATAAACATTGCCGCAGAACCCTACACAATCCCGGAAAACCACCCGTGTTGGGCGGCTGACCAAGGGAAATCTGTGGCAATTACTTGGCTGGGAAACAAGAACTCTCCTCCAGGCTCCAGGATGGAAAGCGGAGACGGCTATGTAGCAGTACAGTGGGGGCGTATCTCGGTGATTGGAGTCTACATCTCTCCAAACATCAACCTTGCCCACTTTGAAGAAAGGCTAGAGAGTATCGGGGAGTGCATAGGCAGATGCCTCCCGCGACCAACAATAATAGCGGGAGACTTCAACGCCAAATCGGCTCTCTGGGGCTCCCCGCTTAATAACCGAAGAGGCGAGATACTAGAAGATTGGGCGGCGGCACTTAACCTATGTATATTAAATACAGGCATAAGGAACACCTGCATAAGACCGCAGGGGGAATTCATCGTTGACTTGACGTGGGCGACTCTTGCTGCGGTACATCTAGTAAACGGATGGGAGGTACTACAAGAGGAGACGGCATCGGATCATCTATATATAGAGATGACCGTCTCAGCTATTACCCCAGAGGTACTCAGCCGCCGCCGAGCAGCAGAGATACGCCCAAGGAGATTGGTCCTTCGTAAGATGGACGAAGACCTTCTTAAGGCCGCAGTGTTGTCGACTGCTTGGCCAGAGGAGGGCAGAGAGGTAAGGGACGTCGACCAGCAAGCTGCATGGCTAGAAGACGTGCTGACGGACATCTGCGACGTTGCAATGCCTCGTGCAAAGCCTTCTCCCCGACGCGCTGCTTATTGGTGGTCGGAAGAAATTGCATCGCTACGCAGGACATCCGTTCGGGCCAGAAGGGCCTTCACAAGGGCCCGCCGACGAAGGAGCGCCTCCGACGAGGAAATAGAGGAAAGGTACAGGGAGTATCGAACCGCTAGGGAGGCGCTAGTAAAGGCCACAAGAGCCGCAAAGGCCAAGGCATGGAGTGAGCTTCTCATACACTGGACGAAGATCCGTGGGGGCGTCCATATCGCATAGTCCTTAATAAATTAAGGCACTGGACACCCCCCACGACAGAGGCTATGGACCCCCAATTCTTGGAAAACGTTCTCACTACTCTTTTCCCAACCAGAGACTCTGGGAATAATCCAGTCTCTATAGAGGGACAAATAGAGTGGAATGAAGAAATGGAGGTGTCCCCAGAGGAGCTCAGAACAGCCGTAAAGAGACTGGGAGCACGCAAAGCCCCAGGTCCTGACGGCATCCCGGGAAAGGTCATTGCCTTGGCCTCCGGAGAGCTTGGAGGACAAATAAGCCGGATATTCACCGACTGCCTCAAGTGTGGGCGCTTCCCAGCAAGTTGGAAGGAAGCAAAAATTGTACTCCTTCCAAAACCGGGCAAACCGGCGGACTCTCCCTCATCGTATCGGCCTATATGTTTGCTGAATGAGACGGGAAAAATGCTGGAAAGGATTATTGCGGATCGTCTCGTCCAGCACTTATCCGGGGAGGGCCCCAATCTCAGCGATGGGCAATATGGATTCCGGCGGGCGCGCTCAACAGTGGACGCCATTCTACGTGTTCGGGCAATATCGGAATCCATCACAACGGACGGGGGAGTTGCGATGGCGGTTTCTTTGGACATTGCCAACGCATTCAACTCCCTCCCATGGGAGCGGGTCGGAAGGGCACTCCACTACCATCGAATCCCCTCCTATCTAATCGCTGCAATTGGGGATTACTTCCGGGATAGGAAAATAACATATGTAGACCGGGAAGCCGTAATGCAAGAGAGGGATATGACCTGTGGGGTTCCACAGGGCTCAGTTCTGGGCCCGCTCCTGTGGAACCTCGCTTTCGACGTGGTGCTAAGAACAGCACTTCCCCCAGGCTGTAGTGTGGTTTGTTATGCGGACGATACACTAATAATAGCTGGGGGAAACAATTGGGAGGAAGCAGCTGCTGCTGCCAACGTTGCAACGGCTTGTGCTGTGCGAACCATCACGGGGATGGGACTTCGGGTGGCGCCCCACAAAACTGAGGCAGTCTTCATGCATGATGGCTCCCGGGGGACTTCACCTGAGGCTCACATTGTTGTGGAGGGAACCCGCGTCCTAGTGGGGGACCAAATAAAATATTTGGGCCTCCACATTGACGGCACATGGTGCTTTGTTGAGCACTTTGCCTGCCTGGCCCCCAAAGTCAACGGAATAGCAGCAGCCCTTAGAAGACTGCTACCAAATATCGGGGGGCCTAGTGGACATACTCGCCGCCTATACACAGCCACAGCCAGTGCATGCTGTGAGGAGAAGTAAAATTGCGATGATTAAAATTGATCATACAAGTATAGGAATTTTATCAATAGAAACATTTTTATGATGTATATTAAGAATTGTTAAAATAAAATTAATTGCATCTAAAATTGAAAATATACTGGCAATATGAAGAGAAAAATTTGTTAAATCTACAGAAGGACCATTATGAAAAATATTAGAAGCTAAAGGTGGATAAATGGTTTATCCTGTATCTGTATCATCGTTAATAAAATTTCTTAAAAGTAAAAGAGTAATTGAGAGTGGTAGAAGTCAAAATTTTATATTATTTATATGAGGATAGGCTATATTTGGTGATCCTAGCATTAAAGGGACAAGAAAATTTCCGAAACCATCAATTATAAATGGTATTACTATAAAAAAAATTATAATAAATGCATGACTAGTTATTATAAAATTATAAATTTGATCATTATTAATGAATGAATTTGAGAAGCCCAATTTTAAACGAATAATTATTCTTATTCTTATCCAATTATTCCTGCTCAAGTAGCGAATAAAAAATAAAGAACTCCAATGTCTTTATGGTTAGTTAAACCTTTTTAAAAAAAAAGGTAAAAAAAGGCGCCAAGTATACACGCGCCAGCTGTAAAAAACTGTCGTATTTATAAAATGTAAAAAACTGTTTATACATTTATAAAATAGTGTTATTTTCATTTAATCTGCACAAAATTGTTATTTTAAATTATTGAAAATTAAAACTTATAAAAATATTTTAACCAGAAAAAGGGGCGATTATTATCAGACATCCTGTATACTTTGGGAAACAATGCAATGCACATAAAATATTAAAAGCTTAATGAGAAAGAATACTGTTTATACTATTAAAATATTAAAGCCCGGTTGCACCAATGTTATTTTGGCTTAAAGCAATACTTAAAATTTTTGGTTTTCGGCAATAATTAATTTTATTAAAATATTATTATAATTAAAATATTAATTTAATAAGAAAATTGGAGTGTATAAAATAAAAATATAATGCGTAGAAAAATAAGTATTAAATAGTTCAGTGCATAAAAATTAATATAAAATACTCTAGTGCATAGAAAAGAAACATATATTAGCGCAAAATACTTTAATATGTAAAGAAAAACAAATATTTTAATGTAAAATATTCCAGTAAAAAAAATAGACATTATATATATATTGTTTCAAATTTTAATATAAAATACTTCACTGCGTAAAAAAAGAAACAGACATATAAAATAACTCAATACTTAAAAAAAAAATTAAATCTTATACTATATACTTTGGAAAACAATGCAATGCATATAAAATATAAAATATTAAGAGCTTAATAAGAAGGAATACTATTTATACGCACACATACATGCATACATGCATCATTAATGCAAAATATTCCAGTGCGTAGAAAAAAACCATTACATAAAATAATTCAATATCTAAGAAAAAATAGCATATTTAAAATAAGATATGTATGTGTATGTATAAGAAATTATATTTTCATTAAGAAAAACTTGGTGGATGCTGGGAGTCCTTTCTAGGATAGTCAGCTGGGCAAACTGGGTTTTTTTTTAATAAAAATGTAATTTGTTTTGATTTAAAGTTGTGATTATATGCACTTGTATTTTTATTAATCTTGTGGATATTGGGAGTCTTTTTTAAGAAAGATAGCCCGTATAAAAAATAAAGAATTCTAATGTCTTTATGGTTAGTTGAATATAATTACTTATTCATATTTAATATAAAAATAAAATAATAAGGAAAAAGAATAGAATTAAGTAACAGGTAACTCGCGCCGGCTGGTGAGACGTGCGCGGAGCGACAGAGGTTCGCGGTGGTTGGCAAGACGTGCACGGAGCGACAGGCGGCTCGCGTGGCTTTTGCAATCCATAGCCCTGAATGCGTAGATGTCCTTACATCACCCTGCAAGGGTGATCGCGCAGGAGAATGCACTAACTTATTTCACGATGCACTGGTAGAAATAACTGATCGTTACTTACCCCGCTCAATGTCCAAGTTCTACTCACAGTGTCCAGGACCAGAAATATTAGCCTTTCTGATCGCTGACGTGTCGGATGGAGTTGCTGATATGTATGGACCTCCTGGGATTCTCGAGCTCGTGCGAGGGGCCGTCCGATGCACCCTTTAGTTTTCTTCGCGATTACACACTCGTTCTCACATTCACTCTCGCATTATACAAATGAAATTGTCTTAATTGTCCTATTTTATCTCAACCCGTAACTATAATCTCGTCTTTTAATAATCTCTTCTAATTCTCACTATAACTCACTATAACACACTTCGCGCACCTGCTCTGCTTTACGTTTGAGATTCGACTCGACGTAGACCGCGCACAGGAATTTCGGCTGCTCCGCGAGGGGGGCCCCTGAGATGCCCGATATTACCAAATATAAATAAGGCTATATCGGACGATACTCGCAAAAAGTTGTTTGCGCGGATTTGGAAGCTTCTCGAAGCTTTCAAAACGATCGCACAGAAAGAGAGAGAACAAGAAAATAACCAACAT